GCTGAACAAAATCTGCATTCTGAAAACTGCCCCCATCTCAGGTGGAAACTACGCTGACCCGCAGAGTCACTTATACCCCCAACAGTGACATAAAAGCCAGAGTTTGGGCCCCCACTTCCCAGCCTAAAAATAGACACGTTGGCATCTCATTAAGCAGCAATTAGTGAATAGATGAGTCACAGCCAGCTCATGAATGTTAATTGCCGCTGTTGTGTAAGGGCCCTCGTGTAAGGGCTGTGTGGTCGTCCCCAGCTTTGAAGCGCTCCAGAATAAAATCAGAAAGCGATGAGCAAGCGCTGAGTCACAGCCTGCAACACTGCTGGACTTCTGCACGCAGCCTGCATCTGAGCATCTTTCCGTGATTGTGTCTGAGTGTGTGCTGTGTCCAGGCTGTGTGTGTTTGCGTGCTGACTGAAGGTAGTTTTCCAAGTTCAGCACTACACTAATGTGGTTCAGCCGGCTCTGCGGAATAATAAAATGACAAAAAAAGACTTGTTTCTGTGGAACTGCAACAGAATGAAAGTTTGTGACCATGACCAGATTAAAATCTAACTGTCAGCAACATTACATGCTGATTGACTCACATCCTGCCTGTCCGGCGTGTGTTTGGCCCACAGACGATCCAGTGTTGGAGTTTATTTGCCTTGTTTTGCATTTAGAACGTCTTCAGTGCACAGTTTGAAAAAGTTTAAGTTTCAGATTTACACAATTTCCACCTTATACCAAATGTAGTCATTCTGCTAAGACATGTTTGATGTCGGAAGTTTGCTACTTTAGTTTTGCTGTGGAGCTGTGAAGCTACAAGTAATGAAAGCATTAAATGGCAGCATGCAAATTGCATGCCTAAGTGATCACACGCTTGCCTAAAACAGTGTGAAGTATACGTGCAATCTCATATAGATTTGCATATGTGGTCTCTGACACTGATTGAAGTTCAGGCTACTACTGTGTGATCTACTCTTTACACTTTTGACGGTGTCAGAAACTAAATTATCTCAAACAGACTTACTTATGTAATCAACAGAACCCAACCGGCCCAAAAAAAAAAAAAAAAAAAGCAGTCATTTCAATCTGCCGCCAGAGGAGTTGCGCCTCTTGCATGTCCCCTTTAGCAACATGTGAGCTCGTTCAGAGCACGGTTTAGATCAGAAATTGTTTTGTTTACTCAGAGAAATGATGAGCACTACTGATGCGAGACTTGTTTTCCTGTTGATGAGCTTTATTGTTCAAAAACATCTTTGGATTTTCGGCTTTCTTAGATCACACAGGAGTAGATGAAGGGTCAGAAATAGCCACTGTATTGTGTCAGCCTGGACACAACAATTTAACACGATTTGAGGCGTGTGATGATTTAGGCATGCAGCCTGCAAGATGCTAACTGGTGTGCATAATCTTCCAGTACTTTTCAGCTACATTAGCCATGCAAGTCCAGCGCTTAACTAAAGCACTAATTCAGACACTCAGCATGGCTGATTGCCTACATTTGGGCTAATTTTTAACCAGTTGTAATCAGCCCTTGTCCACTGGGCCTCAGGTGAGTCTCTGGCGCCATCCTAAGGGCTGTTCCGTTACTTTAATTGCTCAAGTTAAATGTGTTAGCTGAGCCCTCGGAGGGGTGAGGGGCCGAGTTAACACGTGTCAACTTCAGCAGCAACCCAGAAATTCTTGATCTGATGCATTTGTCTTTTTAAAACTGACAATAATGACGGAGCTCCCTAGTTAGCATGCTAAAGGCTAAGCAGCTAACAGTGGCAGAAATAAAGGCCCTACACCAAGTTTATAACTAGATGAAGCAGTTATTCGCAAGTTTTATGGACATTATGTTCATTACGTCCTGAAAAACAGAATGTTTTTCATTGCAAACTTTGCATGGGTAGCCAGTTAGCTCACTGAGGTTAACCTGTAGAGTGCAAGCATGTTCCACTGTAACAAGCCCTTCCTTACCATCCCCTCTTCCTCTTCTGTCAGGAGTGAACACTCTTTCTGGCGATGTGTCGAAGTGGGCAAGGCAAGTTAAAAACTTATTGAAATGGGGTTTAGATTTTCTATCACTTTGATGTACTTTTAATAATAAGATAGCTACTTCAGCCTTGTAGCTCTAGAGCACAACTAAAGAAGCAAACTTCACAAATGAAACACATCTTGAGTGATTTACTACATTTAAGGCTGCGTGAATTAGATTATTACCAAACTATTCCATAATTTGGCCTCTGCTTATTACTATAGATCACAGCCTTCACGCTCCAGTGTCCTGCGGCCGCTGCACAGGCTAGCATTTTACCTGCTTGAACAAACCTAATTCAGCTCAGAGATCATTAACTGACCAGCTGAATCTTGTTTGTTTGAGCAAACAAGACCCCGCTCCCCTATTGTGCTGATAGCAGCGGTCAGGTTTTTATCTCCAGCAGTGATTTTAGCCATCAGTGGCCGTCAGCTCTCTCTGTGTTCCTTTTTTTTATCCTTGACTGTCTTGGCTGAATGTATTCGAAATGCAAACATCACGTCTCTCTAATAGCGTCCTGTGCTTTCAGATTGTCCATTAGGAAGAGGAAATGGAGTGTCTTTGTGCGACATCCATGACATCCCTCTGTCTCTCGTCCTGTGCATGTGTGTGAGAAAATAACAGGGTGTTCTCAGTGAAGCAGGACTGAGACAAAAGCAGAATTCAGTGCAGAGTTTCTTCTGCTTTCAGTGACGCTGGGGTCTGATTACACTGTGTAACTCTGCCTGTTCAGCCTGGCCAGCACACAGTGGAACAGAGAGAGAGTGTGTTGGTAAAAAATGAGGGAGTGGCACTGATTGGTGCACCATGTTGGCTGAAGTCTTTTGATTTTGCAGATTAAGTGAGTGCACTGCAGGGAAAAACTCCAGTTACAATCTTATTTTCTATCCCATTTGTGGATTTCTGTCCTATCTGTGGGTAAATAATCTGATAGATAGTTAGAAAGTTTATTAAACAGGCATTTTAGAGTTCTGATGGAAACAAAAGAGCTGTGTAAATCAGCACTGTGTAAAAGTCACTTTTTCATTTTATTTATTTCCAGACAAAAGGGGAATTCAGGAACATTACACACAAGCCTCTAAGGATAATATCTGGATATTAAATATATTATGATTCTATCGGTCTTTCATTCCGAACTTATAAGACTGAACTTTGGTGGTGTGGGAAAATATCTCTGCAGATTTCTTTGAAAAACTGAACAGAAGCTGTAATAGGTTCAGACTGGACACAAATACTGAAAAATAATTATATTGTTGAGGATTTTGTGTAATATTTGTTAATTTTTTTTTCTTCTGTTTATTTTTTTCTGACACGGAAAAATTAATAACTTAATGGCTTAATGTCTTGAATATAGTGCTGTGCATACATTTGAAAACATCTCTGGTCAAATCGTGTTTTGTTGATTTTCTTAGTGAAGTTAACACATCTACGGAGAATACGCTTAAAAATGACGTTTTTCTGCATGTTTTTGTGTATAATTCCTAATTTCTATGTAACATTGAAAAAAAACATGCCATAACTTCTGCGCAGGCCACGTTTTAGTTTTGTTTATTTTTCTCAGTACGTTTTAAATTCAGCAAATTAACAGTGTAGTAAAGTGTGCAGGAGCGTTTTCTCTGTAGAGGGTGTGTTAAATTATTTCCATTTAGAAAAGCAACAAAATATGTCATTTGACGAGGGGGCGCCCAGACGTTTGCGTATGACTGGGATGTGGGATGGGATGGTCTCTGACTTTTGCACAGTACATACATCACATACTGATCAGTCCTGTTGTATCAGAACCTAATGAACCTACTGCCATCGTTGTCATTAATCTTAAGCCTTATTATTTAGTTACTACAATAAAACTTCAGTAACTACCAAGAAAGTAATGTGTAAGTTCTGTAATTATGAGAGGAACTGAAGTGTGGGCTGATATACAGGCCCTTAGAGTTTACGGGGTTGAAGTCTTTCAAGTGTCAATATTAAAGTTACCTGTATTACCATTAGAGATGGCATATTAGTATCAAGGAGTTTTGGTTTTCGGGACGAATCTGGCAGAAAATGGATGAAAAATTAGAGAGAAAAGAATGAATCCACTTCTCCAGGGTGTTTCCTGCTTTCCGCCCAATGAGTGCTGGGATAGGCTCCAGCAACCCCTGTGACCCAGGAGGATAAGCGGGTTAGATGATGAATGAAATGCGTCCTGAAACTGCCCTCGCTCACACTGTGAGATGTGATGTGGGTTAGTAGAGCGATCAATTAAAACAGCTGATATTAAAGAAGTATCAGATTGGTATTGATATTGGGTATCGGTCAATACGCAAATGTTTTAATATCAGTAGCGAAAAAAGAAAAATTGGTATCGTGCCATTAGAGCTGGGTAATATGACAATATAAATTATTATCAAGATAAATGATGTCACGATATAATAGAAAATGCATATTTTTGAACAAATTTAACTGCAACACATTTTACCAAATATTGAATAAAAATAATTGTGTTCACAGTTTTAAGTTTTTTTTTTGTTTTTTTTTGCACTACTGGTTCTTTCAGATGTTTAATATTGTAACATGTACTGTGAAAATTTCTTACGATATTGCAAAATGATATTTTTGCCATATCGTCCACCTCTCTGTGCCATCTCTAAATGCCATTTATAAGTGGTGTAGCATGCTTTTTATCTTTTTTATAAAAGTAAGTTAAACAGGCTGTATGCAGACGATATGCAGGCTGTTTTGGTTTATGCAAAAAAAACCAAAAAACTCTTAAGAGAGCTGTTATTTTTCTTATCTTAATAGGATTAGATTTGACAAAAACTGGTGTTCACCATGTCCAGTGATCTTAATAGCATGTGTTATGACTAGATGATGACATTTGGCTGTGACCAGAGAGAAATACCCAAAAGATTCAATGGAAAAATGCACTGTGCTATTCATAATGTTCATTTCTCTCTCTCTCTCTCTCTCTCTCTCTCTGTCTGTCTCTCTCTCTCTCTCTCTCTCCCTCTCCCTCTAGTAATGAGCGTGCTCGCTGGATCAGTGCACTGGGACAGAGTCATAATGAGAAGAGGAATTCTGACAGAACAAGTGAGTTTTTGTCACGTGATTAAACTTTATGCACTTAAAGTATGTGTTTTAACATGTTTAAATTTTTTAGATTCTCCTTGGGGGAAGGGGGTCAGAACACACATTATGTTGCAGTGCATGCTGGGGACTGTAGTGCATCTCAGGGTGAAACGGGCTAATAAGAACAGAAAATTAAAATAATTGCGCGGGCTGAATAGGACTGTGTCGCAGGCTTGCCTTGGCCCACAAGCCTTGTGTTTGACACATGGGACCTGAGGCATATGGCCGGGCAGCCGCTATTGTGATAAATTACACTGCAGTATGTCCCAGTATCGTGGTTATCGTCAGTACTTCAAAACACTTCATAGCTGCATATTTAATTCCAAAGAGAGTAAAATTAGTCCTGTTTAATTGAGTTTACTGCATCACAGTATGAGAAATGTTGAATAAAAACCATTTGTATTCATATTTGACTCTAATGTGGCACTACCTTGACTGTTCCAACTTATCAGATGTCTGAAAAAAGAAATATGATGACATGGCGTATTGTGAAAAGTATCGGGATATCACATTTTTGCCATATTTCCCAGCCCTACCAAGACATTCTCCATTTTAACACAGTCACACAGTCTGTTGAAGGATGGATCACTGCCTTATTTAAATAGTCTCTTCATGTGTAACACATCCCTGTTGTGCAAACATGGCTGTGTTGATTCCAGGGTAGTGACCTTAGTCAAGCAATAATAAGTTGCCCAGACTTTTAAAACTCACTCAGAGAAACAGCACCTCCTGCTGGCCATGCGATGCACTGCAGTCTCCCTATACATCAGTCAGTATTGTCTCCTGCCTTGTACGTCCACTTTAAGAGCTCCACCTTCCTCTTAGCTCCACTACAAGTGTACAATTACAGACTGCACAATTATAAGCCCCATTTATCAGTACGCTTCTGACCACAGGACAGCTGCTGTCCAGATATTATTTGATGGGTGCTCCAATCTCAGCAAAGCAGTGACAGTTACATTGACACGGTAGTGTGTGTGGTGCTGGCTGTGAGTGTATTGGGCACTCGGATGTGTGAGGTTTTTACACACGTTAATGTCACTGCTAGGCTGAGTGGACCACCAGCTCAAACATATCCAGCCAAGAGCGGCTCTGTGGTCAGAAACTGACCATTCATTAAGAACAAATGAAAGCTGTACATGTACAGAGGAGCTACGGTCTGTAACTGTACACCAGCAAGGTGGAGCTACACCCTCAGAAAAAAAGGTATGAAACCGTCACTGGGGTGGAACCCTCAAGGGTCCATCTCAGTACCTTTAGTCAGGGAACATAACTGAACCATAATCCACTGAAATGATATGTTCTAAGCTGTACTGACTCCACACACCCCGTCTCGTCTCCAGGCTTTTATTTTACTGTTCTGTTTTAAAACATTCGGTTATGAAAAGGTACAAATACAAACTTTTCACCTGGAAACACTTATTTAAGGTTCACAATCAGACCTTAAAACCACTGTTGGAGCTTTGAGGGAACATTTACACTGTTTGTACCTTGATGAATGAAAAATGTACCAGCACAGAACCTTTATTAATAACAGTGTACAAGGGAAAATTTAATAATACAGTAAGATATATTATATTTGTGGATCTTAAATTTAAATAACTTCAGGCTTAATATATGTTAATATGTTAATAAAGGGGCCGATGAGGTTAGATAAGATAGTCAGCTACTTGTTGAGGCTTTGATTTTGTTTGTTTGTTTATTTATTTAGTATGTTGAATAAATATAAAAATCAAATGCAGTTTGTGAAAAGACGTGGCGTCTAAAGTGTGCTTCTTTCATCATGAGGTTAATGTACCTAACAAGTAACAAGTAATGGAAGCATATACAGCGTCATTTATTATTATTATTATTATTATTATGATTATTATTATTATTATTATTAATTATGCACCTAAATCTAACTGTCTAGTTGTAAGTAATCTCAAACAGTCTTGCTTGGGTGTATCACATAAACATGAAGCAGCCTGAATTGTGTCCATTTGAGATCTAACAGAGTTCTGCCTGTGTTGGTCAGATGCCGTGCAGGTGGAGGTGATTCGGACGTATACGGCCAGGCAGCCGGACGAACTCTCACTGCAGGTGGCCGACGTTGTGTTGGTCTCTCAAACGGTGGAGGACGGTCAGTATCCGTTAATGAATTATTCTCTCATGTCTTTAACAGAAAACGCTTCTCTTGCAAATGCTAATATTATAATGACAGTTATTACCGAACAAATAATGAATAAAAGCTAGTGAGGGCTAGTTAGCATTACGCTAATGACCAGTAGCACCCGGTGCTCATTAAATTCATTAATAGGTGAATTTATTTTTGGGTGAAGTGATATGTGCCCCCTCTGCTGATCCTTTCATTAGGCTTTTACTCTTCTTTGCTCTCTCATGCTTTCAACCCTGTTAATTCCCTTTATATTTCATTAAAGAGATGTAAAAAATGCATCTCCAATTCAGATGCATCAATTTTAGAATGTTTTAATTTAGTGATTTAAGTAACCAACTATAATAATATTTTGAAAAGTTTATTATTATCATTATTATTATTATTATTTGGGGTCTATTTTGAACGTAGCTTGTTGTATTGTGTATATTCCGCTACTCCATTTGTGTATTCAGTGTAAAATGATGATGAATTGTACGGAATAAATCATAATCAGATCGAACTCACAGGTTTAACACCCCTAATATCTGTTCCTCCATCCTGTCTGTGTGAAACCCTCTTTTTATTCCACCTTATTCCATCTTATTCCCTTCACCAAGCTTCCATTTCACTAATAAATACAGAACTTTTCCTTGAGGCCATTTAGGCCATTTCCCCCCTTATCGAGCCTATCAAGCTGGTACACTGTGTCGAGTCTACAGCTCAGCAGATCTCAGCTGCTCTGAGATCCAGAATAGCTGCCTTTGTGTGCATTGATTTTTTTTTAATGTTAAAGAAATGATTCTGTAAATAGCCAGAGTTGTTTTCTGATGTGAGCGTCCGGCCCAAAGGTCTTTTGTTTTTTGATGCCTCTGGGTTGAGGGTCAGACGACAGTCCCCCGTGATTGACACTCGTTGGCCGGCTTTCATGTTGAAAGGGCACGGTGCCCAGAATAGGCCATCAAAAGCCCGCTGAATCTTTAAATACTCATTAAAAATACAGCAAACACTTGAAAGCAGAATCCTTTGGGCTTTTTCCCCACAGAACGGTGTGCAGTAAAAAGGCCTTTTTGTAAGGATTTCCCACAACGGCAGGAGTACAGACTAGAAATGATATCAGTTGCGATGGCTTCATCGCTGATGCTCGGTAGCACCATTTGTACCATGTTTGTCAGTGTGGCTGAATTTCAGGTCTAATGAAAGGAACATCAAGACTGCACTAGTTTTAATCTAATTATTGTGGCATGTGTGAAACGTGAACAGGCTGCTTTGCGATTATATTGCTGTATATTGTGATCACAGTATACCTCACAGATAGGGCTGCACGTGCAGCGAGGAAGGCTGAAATTAGCTTGCCTCATCTTGGCCATTTATTTATGCTGAAGAAATATGGATAGTGATTAATCAGACCACCCGCACAGCTCATCTGGAGCTTGTTCACGCATTGCAGTCTTTGGCAACACCAGTAATAATTAACAAGCAATATAACATGCAGCTTATGATTGTCATGATGACGAAAATCCAACTTCGGTATGATACTTTGAAATATACTGAAATTCGATACCATTTTCGATACCAAAGTCAGATAAAACTGGGGGTCATATGCAAATAAACACATGAAGGTGTGGTGGTGTTTGTATTTTTATCCAAGCTAAAGTGAAGCTCATGCACACAAGCAGTGCAGACAGAGCAGCATGAGAGACAAATAGAAATACAGCTACTCAACAACCCTGATAACCTAATTGTTTATTTTTAATGAATAAACAATATAAGCGGGAACATTCAGTTGTCGACACAAATAAATGCTGAGGCAGTTCTTGGATGTTGAGTTGGCTATGATGATTAAAGCTATGAGAGTTTAATGAGACACCTTGTTAAATGGTTCAGTGATGCTGCAATCACCAGCTCTCTGTACATGTCCACGTGCCGGTCCTTCAGGTGTTTGGTCAGATTTGATCTGTACGCACCCTCAGTTGGAACTGTTCTGTCTCTGTGTCCTTTCCATCCTTATTTGCTTCGAAGCCAAAGTACGGCACAGCTCTCCTGCTGTTTTCTGGTTACAAAGGCTGTGAACTCTCTGCAGCAGCCATTTTAGCATAACAAACCACACAGCTAGCGAGACCTAGCGGTGTTTTATGGAAGCCTATGAGGGTGAAAAGGAGCGCAAGCAGGAAAGCAGAAGCAGGAAAGCACCTTTGATTTGAACAGTATAGATACTGCTAGAAAAAAGTCTTGCACCATTGCAAAATGTTCAGTATCAACAGGTATCGATTTATCGATATCTTTGACAATCCGTGCCGATTCTGTTCCAGGTTGGTACGAGGGCATGCGCCTGAGAGACGGCGAGAGGGGCTGGTTCCTGTCCCAGTGCGCTCAGCTCATCACCTGCCAGGCCACCATCGAGAAGAACATGCAGAGGATGGATCGCCTGCAGGGGCTGGAGACCAATGTATGAGCTCCATTTCCCTCCATAGACTCCAGCAAGGAGAGAACAGAGCCATAACGCTCAGGAGTTACTGGACCTTATCGATTAGCGGACGACTGAGAGGATTAACTTGTATGGTCACCCACATGATGTCCTCCAATTAGGGACGCCTTCCAGCAGGACTTCTTTATAGAAGAAACCATGGATGAACTCATGTGGTTCCTGGAAGAACTGTTCTGTGTTTTTTAGAGCCTTGACTGGCAGAAGCTCTGTCCACACAACTGCTCCAGAAGGTTAGAGGGCCAGAGGGCCAGAGGGCCGGAGTCAGCCCTCTTTAACAGACTGCACAGGAACCCGAGAGGATCCAGGCTCGGTGGCAGTTACAGGGAAGCTGTATGGAGGGATTTTAAAGAATGCTAATCAAAAATGCTAACATCGTGAATGATGAATGGCTAAAGGCTAACAGAGTCTGGAGTATCAGATTGAGGTCACTGTTTAATGACCCCTCTCAGCTTTTACTCATTGTTACGGAAGTCCGGTGAGGCCATGAGCTGTCGCTCTTATTTTCTGGATTGTTATCCTGAGATAATAAAAGTAACTTTTTTCAAAATAACAATTCTGTTATCTTGAGATAACTATCTTGAGATCACAAGATACTTAACTCGTTATCTTAAGATAACTTATCTTGAAGTAATGAGTTACTTATCTCAAGTTTTATCATGAGATAACAAAATAAGTAACTTATTTCAAGTTTTATAACGGAATTGTTATTGTGAGATAAGTAACTCGTTATTTCAAGATAAAACTATCTTGAGATCACAAGATATTTAACTCATCTTAAGATAACTTATCTCGATGAGTAATTTTTTTCAAGATAGGTTTTATCTTGAGATAACAAAATAAGTATTGTTATCTTGAAATAAGAAGCAACTCATTATTTCAAGATAAAATTATCTTGATCACAAGATAAATAACATCCTAATATAACAAATCTATCGTGAGATAACAAGATAAGTAACTCGTTATTTCAAAATAACAATCCAGAAAATCCTAACTCCCTCATGGCGTCTCTGATTTCTGTACATTGTTGGTAATGTTATCGTTTTTGGGTGGTGTTGCTTTACTTGCACTGGTCAGATCGATTGGCTCCTCATTTCCCTTTAAAACCACCCAGCTGTGCAAACCATAACGCAACTTGCTGTCATCAGCCGAGTTACGTAACAAGCCCTTTGATCATTTTAACAAAGCTAAATATATATATATATATTTTTTTGCTGTAAAAATAGTTTTTTTCTCTTTATGAATCCGCCGTCGAGCTTTATGAATTTTTAACGCGTCTGTAGAAGTTCTCTGTACATAGACTTGTAACTGACATCTCTGATGTATGATAAAAGACTGTGGGCTCAGGGAAGGTTTCCAGCGGCGTATTTAACCAACGGCGATCTGCATAAATCGTCAGCACCTCCACGGGACGAAGACGAGCTGTGTGGAGTATAACGACGCCTTGGCTAACGGCTTTTATCTGTTTGTAAAGATCAAGGGCTGCACTTTAAGGCCCTTTTATAGAAAACTGGAGAAATCCACAGGGGGTCTTAGAGGAGGGACGGTTTTCAGGCGTAGCCGTCTACCACTTTTCCCCCCACATGAAAGTGACACTGGGGCGACTGTGACTCCCACTTAAGATCTTACTCAGACGCTGTACACCAGAATTTCATATCCAGCTTCAGAAATGAACCGATTCGGAGTTTAAATGAAGGAAACCAGGACTTTTCATTCCAGCTTCAAATGGGGTCTCAGGGAGAATGACCGCCTCCACATGGACGACTGTAAATCTAATGTAAATATGTTCCATATTACCCTGCAGTTTAAACCACTAATGCATGTAGATTTGTATTCCAGAGAGGTTTTATTGTTATTGTGTCTGTATTTTACTGCTGTGTAAATAATTCATCACACAGTGTTTGTTTTTAAGAAAAATTCTACCAAAATAATAACCAAATCATGGAGAAATCTGAGGTTTCATTATCCTGGCTGTGGACATTACTGTGTGTGTGTGTGTGTGAGAGAGGGAGAGGGAAAGGGAGAGCGAGAGCGAGAAAGAAGTAGAGGTAGTGAGAGTGTGAGGTAGAAGTAGAGAAAGGAAAAAGGTGGAGAGAGATAAAGAGATAGAGGTGGAGAAAGAGAAGAGGGGAAAAAGTGAGAGGTAGAGAGAGAAGTGAAAAAAGACAGGAAAGAAAGGAAAAAGAGTGATAAGAGAGAGGTGTAGAGGTAGTGGAAGAGTGAGACAGAGAGGTAGAGAAAAAGAAGTGAGAGCGAGAGAAATAGGAAAAAGCTGAGGTAGTGAGACGGATAGAGAGAGAAAAAGAGAAAGGTAGAGGTAGTGAAAGAGAAGTAGAGATGTGAGAGAGAGAAAAAAAGAGAGAGAGACCTAAACTCAGACAGGGTGCTGTAATGAAGCAACTTTAATAATCTGATTTGTGTCCAGAAGGAGGAATAAAACTTAACAAAACAGTGCAAAGGCAACACAAAATAACAGACCATCACTGTAATAATAGAAAAAAAAAAAACTTTCAGTAATTTCAAAAAGTCTTGGAACGGGCAGCCTCAGTCGGTCAGTCTGACCACTCAACACAGCAGTGTATCACCCCCCCCACTGCAGTCACGCCATTCATATCTCAATGGACTAATTCACCCAAAAAATCAAATTTACACAGTTTGTATCACCTCATATGTAGCTGATCATCCGAGACACATCTGGTGTCCAAAATTGGCTTCATTAGTTTAACTTCTTTTCTAACACTAGAACTCAACAGTCAGTCGAACCTTTTCTGTAGAAATACCCCCAAAACGTCTCAACTCGCCGAAACCACGTCCAGCTCACCTCGATGTGGTTTAGGACACTGTAAACTACTAAAAAACTTCAGCATGTAGCCGAACGCTGAGGGCAGTCACTCTGGACAACAGGTGTGCCAAAGTACGACTGCTCACTTGCACGAACGTCTCACAGGCATATAGACGCGCCGCGATTTCTGCTGTTCCTCATTTATAAATACCTGGAACCGTTTCTAACTGAAGATATAGAAACAACAGAAATCGGCCTTCTAATCTGGCAACCATATGCCTGTGTCACACGTCTGCACTCAACGGGGAGCTGGATTTTGCAGGGGAGGCAGAATTTGGCGTAACACCATTGTCTGCTCAGTGTTCGGCCATCGCATTGTGTCCTAAACCACATCGACAAGCCTGCGCCACCTTAAAGAAGACCTGGCTGCAGTTTGAGCCAGTTAGAGAAGTGCTGAGGATGTATTTACAGTAAAGGTTTGGGTGACTATTAACTCCTAGTGTTTGTGAGCAATGTTAGCCTCACAGCTCCAGCACTAAAATGAGATTTTTAGCCAAATCTTTCCTTTAAAGGTGCAATAAGTAGAATTTTTACATTTTACAGCTTGCAAATGTAACAGAAGGGTGGAATGCATACGAATGATTTTTCAGACGTGTGGGGGTAGATTAGTTAAACGCTGAGAAGATGGACTTTGCGGTGAAGATCACACAGATATAAATGCACGATCTGACTGGACCGCTAGTCTAAACACTATACGTGCGCGAGTCTGAGCGAATGGCGTGACGTTAGGTTCCTCCATCTTCACTGACTTCAGCCTTTTCTTCACCTCCACACCAACTGAACAGCATTTCAACTCAAAAAATGCTAACATGGCTAACAGTGAAAGGAAGCCAATGACTGCTCGTTAGCACTACGATGTCACTTGCATCAGCTATTCATAATTAGCATTTCTGACAACTACTCCTTTAAACGGGGCACTTCAGCCAAAAATGCTAACAGCTAACAATGTATAGAAGCTACTGGGGACCTGTTAACATGCTAACTGGACAGAAATTAATGAATTATTCGCTTGTCTTGGCAAAGTGTTCCTTCAGCCATCACCGGATTTTAATGTTAAATTCTACTCGTTGCACCTTTAATGCGGCTACACTGGCTGTCTGTCAGTCCCGATGATGATGGTGAAGCTCTGATGTCTCTGATGGGTTCAGTCGTCCCAGTGCTGGGGGATCTTCCTCGACGGCTCTCCCGAGGGAGCGGCCCCGGGGCTCTCCTGTGTCGTGATGAGGTCAACGATGGCCGAAATCACAGCGCAGTCTTTAGAGCTGCGGTCACTCCAGTCCACAGGGCACGGCCGCTTGATCTTCTCCTCCAGCAGCGTGTCCAGCTCCTTCTTCAGATTCTGACAGGAGAGGAAGAAAAACAAAAAAAAATCTCAAGGTGAACTCAAAACGTTCGGCTTGAGCAACATCAGATTTTCAAAAAGGGGGTAAACATTGACAAGCTGACCTGATTCAGCTGCATCGGCGCTACTGCTGTACGCAAAAGGCTGAAGTCAAATTACGTTTTGTTGAAAATAACATCTACAGAGTTCTGCAACTGTTAGTGCACAATTTCTGTTTTATTTGCTGAGTTTAACACACTGGGGGAAAAAAATAAAACACAATATTAAAGGTGCCAAAACTTTTGCACAGGCCACATTTTATACTTAAATTTTCCCCCAATATGTTAAATTAATAAAATTAAAAGTAACTGCAGAAGAGTCTCTGTAGAGGATGTGTTCACTTAATTCATGTAATTTAGGACTTTATAATCAATCAGAATGAAACAATAATTCAGCCAAAATAAAACTCTAAAGCTATAAAACTATTTTCAATGAGTTTTTATTATATTTTTAATATATAAACATAATTCTGAATCATACCAAAGAGTTAGAATCATAAAATGATTAGAATGAAAATGATACCTACAAATTTCAGTAATAATTTGCATAAGGAATATAATACATTATATCACCTTCGCAGGGAAACATAAGGCCGTCTGTGGTAAGTTTTAAAAATAATAATAATTTTTATAGTGAAAGTCAGAAATACCATAACCTGTAGCAGAGATCCGCAGCATAACCGGAAGGCAACTTAAATGTTCATTCCATTTGAAAACTAGGATTTAATGTTGTCTGCCATGTTGTGTAACATGCTGAAGCGCTGCATTTCCTCCCTCGGCCTCATCTGTTTGATCATTTTTGGTGTTTTCGTCCATCAACATTTTCTCACTACAATACCCAGCATGCATTATGAAAATATTAAGGTTAGGGTTTCCTCCCACCTTCAAGATGCATCATCAGAAGGGATTTTCCTAGTAATTAAATCAGAACATCTCACTCTTGGGACTGCAGTAGCACTGCTTTAGGAGGAGAGCAGGCCATTTAAAATACATGTAGTAATGGTTACACTGTTCATTTTGGTTGGGGTGCCCCTTTAAGCTTTGCCCCTGCCTCCTAGGGTCACTTTCAGGACATCACTGCTTCAGTTAGAGACGCCTGGCTGCTCATTGGTCATGGTCAGTGAGTGAATAATCCCAAAACATGCACAATATATTCAATAACACTGAATGCTGGTCCACATGAGTGATGATGTAGGATCAGTGTTCAGTTTTCCTGATTGCTGCAAATTTCTTCATTAATTTAGTGTGAAGGTTTCTGGTCTCTCAGTGTTTCCACAGCAGAAGGAGTTTAGAGCACAGAGAGCTGAATAAGATATAAACCCTGACCTCGAGGAAAGATATGATGACCGCAGAGAGAAGCAGGAATGCTGGGAGTACAGTAAAACTTCCATTAGCTGGTCCCCACTGCGAAGTGTAAGGGGGGGAAAAAACAGACGGCCTAGTAAAAAAAACAGTAGAATTTATTGTGTTTGGCTGAAGAACAGTTTAAAAGCTGAACGCAGTGTTTGAAACACCTGCCAAACTCCCGCGGCTGCACGGCCAACATTAGAGAACAGCATAAAATCAAAAAGCCAGTAATGCTGTGTAAACGTTGGCCGCTATGCCGCTGTTTACTTTTCCGTTTATGGCTGTGATTTAGTGGGTGTTAATGCAGTAAAGCGCTTTGAGCTCAGATACGGCTGAAAACAGGTTAGCGATTCGCTACCTGACGCACTTAATGGTGCGCACTTCACTATCGCCTGGATTTACAGCTACTGTCACAGGCTGCCCTCATGGCCTGGAACGCCAGAGTAAGCCTCGCTTAAAGAGAAACTCGCCTCACAGTGGTTGCAGTGAGATCAGCATCATGAAGATGTGTTTTATAGAGGGAGATTCAAAAGGATTCAATCCGTTTAAATGGGCAGGAAGTTTATTATGTAATTTTACAGGTGCTCAGTATGAACCTCCTCCAGCTTCACGATTGTGTATAGATGGTTTTGAATATATAAAACTCTAAATCTAAACCACATTTTGTTTCAGTGCTCAAACTGCGATAAAGTTCAGAACGTTTCAATATTACTGTTCTTATTTTTAACAGTTGCAGTCCTAAAATAACCACAGCACCCCCCTCCCGCATCCCCAGTGCCTTGCTGTTATCTGATGTGTAAAGTCACGTTTGCTGTGAAGTTCTGTGAGATCCGAGGCTCTGAGAGACGGGACTGTTGATCACGCCGCTTATTCGGGAGCGTTAACTGAAAGTGTGGGGTGTCTTGTTCTGGGCAAATGACTATAGACAATCAGTGGAGTCACTGTATGTGGGGTCTGTCACATTTTCAATGTTAGGATTTTTTAAATCCTTTGGGCCAGACATTAACGAAAATCTCAAACACGGCTCTTTTACTGTCCTGTTGTGGCTCCACAGAATCAGATTAGTAGGTAAAAATAAAATAATCCTCCTTTGCAGTAAAATAAAGCTCTGCAGGTCGTTCAACACAGTTTAACAATAAATGGTCTTAAACTCTGGAGTTAATGTAGAACTGCTAATTCACCCTTTAACCCTGGAGATCTGCACACAGACTACTGGTCACCACAGCAACACAGACAACAGCCTCACCTAGCTAGTAGCTAACGTAAAGGCAAAGAGAGAGATTTAAGACGAACATCGATAATTTGGAGATGAATGGACTTATTAGTGTTTATAATCACTCCAGCTGGTTTCCTGATACGTTTAAACTGCAGCGAGAAACTGACAAACACTAAAAAGTTGCGATGCTGAAGTCAATTTCTTGTTCGAACTGTCTCGTTCCACCTTAAATGGTACAGCAGTTACATTCTGATGCCTCAGGCACCATTTAAGGTGGAACAGAAAAATTCAAACAAGAAGCTGGCGAATGAGAAGCTTCAGCCTCGTAAAAAACATTGAGACATTTTACAAGAAACGGTTCTAGTTTTGAGAAAAGTTTCCTGCTGGAGATGCGAGAAAAGCAGCTATAGCTGAGCTAAAACTTAAAGCAGAGCAAAGTAAGTCTGCGTTTTCGTTTATATTATTTTTTTTAGCCTAGACTAGAACATCAGCACAGACTGAGACATATTTACAGCCAAGATGGTTAAATATATTTAAGATAATGTGGCTCCAAAGGTGGTTTGATTTTTGTTGAAAGGACAAAAAAAAGGCTCTTCTTAACGTTTGGGCTGGTTTAAACAGTCTCGTCTCTCAATATGTGTGTTGTAGTGGCGGGAGTCGTCAGCGCAGGCTGATTTAATTTAAATTTCTCGGGGACCCACTTGTGCCTGGTCACCGGTGAGATTAAACGGCTTGTAAAATGTCGCATATGTGAGCTTTTCCTGTTTTGACTTTTGACAAGAATATTGATACTGAAGCCAAATGCCCAAATCATCATTCTGTCATCTTTTCTGCTCAGAAAGGCTTCACAGCCTGATAATCCATCTCAGGTCGAAAGGGAATAAGTACCAGTCGGGCTTTCTGAACAGGTTCACTCTCTGGAGAAAAGTTTTACTCAGAAATGATTTTTACATGAGATTCCTTCATTATGGATGCTCAGCTCCTGTCTGCAGTTGCGCGCTTCTCTTGGCGCTGAGTAGAATATAACAGCGCAGCCAAAGCTGAGGCTTAAAGTTGGATCTCGATTCTGCAACTCCAGAAAAGTTTTATAGATCGATTTTTTTCTTAAACCCCTAAACTCACTGTGCAGGATGATAGTTTAGAGGCTGAGAGAGTGATTGAGAGAGACAGAGAGGTTTTTCTTTTTAATCACACATAGGGGGCAGTGTTTCTGCTCTAACCGAAATCGGCTTTGTGGTAATAAAGGCTTAAAAAGACAAAGTAACACCAGCCATTAAACAGCTGATAACAAATGAAAGGATTACACAAATCCTGATAGTTTTCTTTCAATTATTAGACACGACAGCGTTTTAGGGTCAAAGCTTCCTGTGACTCAAGGCTGCGTTCCACAAAGCAGGAATATGGCAGACAGAGAAATGATGAACAAAGGGTATTTCATTCATTTCGTGAAGTCTATGAAATGCAGCTCTGCCTGAGGGTCTGCTGAATTCACAGTGGGAAGCAGGTGGTCTACATCATTAAGCACTGAGCACCAGCCTTAAGTGAACATGATGTTTAGAGCGATGTGTCCTGGGCAGTCAGTATTTATTTGCCTGGTAAACGTTAGAATAAATATAAAAACAGGGGAAACTCAGCCCAGACAGTGTTAAAGCATCGTCTGATGTGTTTTGTTCAGCACTGTAAAGCGCAGAGACTGCAGTCTTACTTTGACCAGATGAGCGATGCGAGCTGGAGACTGGAAGACGATCCACTCATCAACAGCGATGGTCTCCTGGTCCTTGTCCTTCTGGATGGAGATGTCTCCTCCGAAGAAGAGCAGAGAGAAGGGAGACACCTCCGTGCAGTCGTACAGGAAGATCTGCAGGAGAGAGAGAGAGAGAGAGAGAGAGAGAGAGAGAGAGAGAGAGAGAGAGAGAGAAATAAACTGCTGTTCTTCGTTTTTTTGTAAAAGAAACCGACATCCTCAAACTAAACGTTGGTTGTGTTATTTTATCTGCTTTGGCAAATATTAAACCAAAATATGTCTTAGTGAACTGAACAGAGAGAGGGGGATGAAGAAGGAAAAAGCAGAAGCATACAAAAGAAAGAATGAGGACAAAAGAAAAAAAATAGAGAAACAGGAAAAGAGAGAAAGACAGAGCAAGAGAGAGTGAGATGGGGGGGAGTGAGAGAGAGAGAGAGATGGAGAGAGTGATGCAGAAGAGATGGAGGGAGGAGAGAGACAGAGAGACAATCAGCAACAGAGAGAGGGAGAGAACGCAACAGAGAGAGGAGAGAGGGCAAGAGAGAGGAGAGAGCATGGGAGAGGAAGGACACAGTGAGAGAAAGAGAGAGAGAGAGAGAGAGAGAGAGAGATGAAAAAGGAAAACAGAATGTAAAAAAGGAATGAGGACAAAAGAAAAAAAAAATAGAGAAACAAGAAAAGAGAGATGCAGAAGAGGTGGATAGAGAGAGACAGAGCAGAATAAAGAGAGAGTGAGAGTGAAAAAGTGACAGAGGGGGGAAAGAAAGAAAGAAAGAAAGAGAAAGATGAAAAAGGGGAAAACTAGAAAGAATGAGGACAAAAGATTAAAGTAGACACAAGAAAAGAGAGAAAGACAGAAAGCAGAGTAAAGAGAGAGAGAGAGAGAGAGAGGAGAGAGAATGCAAGGGAGACAAAGAGACAGCAAGAGAAGGAGAGAGAGCGCGACTGCTGGACAGAAACATAAATGTCCAGTCCGGGGCAGAGAGGGAAAGATTTCCTGGATGTGAAAGTCTCCGTCCTCTTCACCGCAGAGAGAGGCAGCGACTCTCCACTCTGCCCTTCACACAGAGACACTGTCAGCGTGTGTGAAGTGGAACAGAGAGATGGGGGTGGGGGTGGGTTACGGGGGGGCTGCACTCTACACATTCTATCACCTCGAGCCTCTGTGTGGACAGAGTGTCAGGAGCTCTCAGCGTCTCCTGCAGGAGAACAACCGGCAGCCTTTACAGTGGAGCCTCCACCTTCGTGACCAACGAAGTATGGAGACCTCAGATCAGGGAAACATCTAACTTACAGTCAACCTTAGCAAAGGTCCATCAGCCAGGACTTCTTGGGTCGGATTCACTAAAGCCTTCTTAAGAAAAACCTGCGAAGGTTCTGAGAACAAACGCTAAGAAGTTCATGATAACGTTCTTAAATTCAATTCTCAAAAAAAAACTATTCTTCTTATACTTCCTAATTATTGGCTTACGATTTTCTTAACCCTTGTGTGGCGTTCAGGTCTGTGGGACCCATTTTCAATGTTTACCAAAAGAAAAAATTGTGATTTATTATTATTTCAGCCTCAGATTCTTGTCCTTTGCTCATTTTCTGTGAAGAACATATAAAATAACCCATTTTCAGTGTCTTCACTCTGTTCTCCCCCCACACACTTATATTACACACGTGGTGTTGGGTGAACCTGCGGGGAGTAAAAGTGTGGAGGTGCTGTGTCCTTCACTCTGTTCTCCTCCTACATGGCCTGCTGTTAGTGTGTGTGTGTGAGAGAGAGAGTGGACAACAAGGACAGGTTGCTGTCTTGCTGAAATAAAGAAGGCCTGAAAAAGACGTCATCTGAATGGCAGCATTTGTTGCTAAAGCGTATATATCGTTCAGCATTAATGGTGCCTTCACAGATGTGCACGTCACCCATGCCATGTGCACTAATGCCCCCTACACCATCATGAATACTGGCTTAGGAACTGTGCTCTGATAACAAGCTGAGTGGTCTTTAACCCGGAGGACACACTTCTCCTCAGTCCATTTTAAATGAGCTCAGGCCCAGAGAAGGTGGCAGCATTTCTGAATCCTGTTTATATATAATTTCTTCTTTGCATTTCAGAGTTTTAATCTGCATTTGTGGATGCAGTGATGAACTGTGTTCACAGACAGTGGTTTGTAGAAGTGTTCCTGAGCTCATGCAGTGATTTCCACAACAGAATCATGTCTGTTTTTAATGCAGTGCTGCCTGAGGGCCCAAAGATCACGGCCAGCAAATACTGGTTTTTGGCCTTGTCCCTCACATACAGAGATTTCTCCAGATTCTCTGAATCTTTTAATGTTATTATGTACCGTAGATGATGAAAAGCAAAAGCTCTTTGCTATTTTATGTTGAGAAATGTTATTCCTGAATTGTTGCACTATCTTTACTTCTGAAAGACTCACCCAAGGAGTTCAAAGCACAATCCATGTTACAACACTTACACTGCATCAGAGAGGGCGCCAAATCCCCAAACCTACCAAACAGAATTCGTGCATTGAAATTGATAGAAAAACGACAGATTTGCACACCAATGCATACCAGTCACATCTTGTACTGAGCTGCGGTGTTTATGTTCTTTTATTTGACGAAGAATCAGCGTTACTGTGCTTCAAACTACCAATGTGTTTGCAGCTGCTTCAATATTAGGAACCATCACAAAATTGCAAAACTACTGGAAGGTAAAGATAAATTGAGTTTTTTCCCCCCAAACAGTTACCCAAATCAGAGGATTCTATGCAGACACAGGCCCAGACTGAATGGATTTGCTGAAGTATTCAGGCCACTGATGAAACTTCCAAACTTTCCGATGCTAAAATACCTTTTAATCTTCAACTTTTAAGAAACAAACCCATTCCCTGAGACTTTCTAGCTCGTCCAAGTTTAATGAAGAGTGGTTTTATCTGCCAGAGGCTGTCTGCTACCCTGCTTCCTCTCGAGTGTGGAGTAGAAAAAAAAATCATTTGGCTTTCTCTTTCTCTGTTTTTTTTGTGCTGCGCCTCTAATCTCTCCCTCCTGAAGCTGTTCAGCTGTTATTTTGTCTGTCTCTCCTCCATTCCTCCCTCTCTCTAACTCACTTCTCACTCGCCCGTCCCTGCCTCTCAATCACCTGCCTCTCTCTCGCTAACCACTCTCTCTCTAAATCACTCTCGCTCTGCCGCATTCTTACATTCTTTCGTCTCTCTCTTTCTCCCCTTCTAAATTACTCTCATTCTCTACCATCAGACATATCAGTCAGTCTCTCTCTCTCTCTCTCTCTCTCTCATTCACTCTGTATAGCTCTATCAGCAGCCCCTGCACTGATGAACATGCTGCTTTCTACTGGCTACACCTTTCTCTTCTCCTCTTTTCATACTTGCCTCCGTTTCTAGGGGATATGGAGAAAATTCCATGCCAGATCTTCAAGCAATCTTTTTTTTTTTCAACAGTGAAAAAAGTGCAATATGCAATTATATGCAATTCATCACTTTATCTTTCATTAGAGATACAGAAAATGCATCAAGCTGAAAAGCTAAACCTCCATTATTTTCTTTCCATGAATTTTGATCTCTCAACTGTAAAACAATTCACACAGATTTGTGTTTGAAGATTTAAATGCTGAATTTGTGTCAAAAGTGAATGTAATTCACCTTAAAATGCTATCAATCACATTTCACGCCTTACTGCACTTCCACCAAGTGTATACAAGAATCATCCAGCGGTGACATGCAATCTTGTCTAATCACAGTCTTCTGCCAAAATTGCGGGCATGGCTGTAATTACTGTCCAATTACAGCCGAACTCAAGGGTATGGCTGTAAAAACTGTCCAATCACAGCCGTTTGCTGAACTTGGTGGGGTGGTGGTGGTGGGGGGGGGGTTATGGCTGTAATCACTGTCCAATCACAGCCGTCTGCCAAACTAAGGGGTGTGGCCATAATCACTGTCCAATTACAGCTATCTGCCGAACTGAGGGATGTGGCTATATTTGCTGTCCAATCCGAGCCGTCTGCCAAAATCAGGGGCATGGCTGTAATCACTGTCCAATCACAGACATCTGCTGAACTCAAGGGTGTGGCTATAACGGCTGTCCAATCACATCTATCAGCCAAAATCAGGGGCATGGCTGTAATCACTGTCCAATCACAGACATCTGCTAAACTCAAGGGTGTGGCTATAATTGCTGTCTAATCACATCTTTCAGCCAAAATCAGGGGCATGGTTGTAATCACTGATCACAGCCATCTGTTGAACACAGGGTAGGGCTGTAATCACTGTCCAATCATAGCCTAATGGTAAACTAGTGTGGTTATAACTGCTGTCCAATCACAACGGGCTGCCAAACTCAGGAGTGTGGCTGTAATCACTGTCCAGTCACGGCCTAATGTTGAACTGGTCTGGTTACAGCAGGCAGACATAGCACGGCTGTATCGCTAACTAGGCTAACTACTCGAGCTGATGTTAGTCCAGAAGCAATGAAAACATGTTTCTCTGACAAATAACAAGGTGGCACATGGTTCACTGAGCAGAAGAGACCCTCTGTAGAAGATAAAGAGTCCTCATCTCCATCCAACGTGACACTTGTTAGCTCTGTTAGCTTGTTAGCTGATGAGACAGCCTCCATTACTCATCCAGCACGAAAACCTACTGATGCCCCTCGGCTGTTATGGACTATTACACAACAGTTAGTTCCGGCCACGCAAGCTGATTGGTTGAGAGGCGTTTTTTTTTCCACAAACACTGTATCACTCCGCTGAGACGCCGTTGCTAAGCAACAACTCTGACAGCTGTAGGAGACGCTCAAGCCATTTGAACGTTTTTACTTCTTACTTTGCCACAAACAGAAAATGGACACTTTTAAGATCACATTTGACCGACAGCCGATTTGGTCCGACTCTGAAGATGAGACGACACTAAATTCCCAAACTGTCATCACCACTGAGCAGCTTTTCAGTCGGCAGCTGAGACAGAAGAACAGCTGAACAACCTGGAATCAGCCAGAAATGAACCCAACACCATTCGCCAAACTAAATGGGCTGTAAGATGCTTTACAGACTGGCTGGAACAAAACAACATTAATACTGATCTGGCAAAAACTGACAAAACTGAGCTGAACTTGATATTGCAGCAGTTTTATGGCTCAGTCTGATTTGGTCAGACTTTGAAGATCAGACTACACGTTTTTCGAATTGTATGTGCAGCGAGTGAGCGGAGTTTGATGCTCTGACATAGCAACAAGCTGCTTGTTAATTAAGCAATAGAACCCGAGAGGGAGTGTGTTACTGCGAAATAACATCACAGCTGTGATTTGGTCGCACAAGCCGAAGGCAATAACACACAACCTCGAGTGTTCTATTGCTTTTATACAGCAGTTAAATAAATAAAGTAAGAAATTAATAAACTGGGCCGTTAACGTGGCATTTAATATGTTTTAATGTCAGCAAATCCTTCTGCCAAATTATAGTTCCTTAACAAGCTCTGACGTAGCAACAAGCTGCTTGTTAAGGAACTATAATTTGGCAGAAGGAATTGCTAACATTAAAACATATTAAATGCCACTCGCCTTCGGTTCGTGCCTGCAACCAAATCACAGCTGTGATGTTATTTCACGATAACACACTCCCTCTCCTGTTCTACTGCTTAAATAAAACGCTCCTCTGTTGTTATTTTCCTTTAAGTAACTTACATTATTTTTGGTGCCACTTTTGGACGTGGAAGGTAGGGAGGTTCACCGCATATCTGTTTATGAACTCCTTCGGATATCAAAGTTAGTGGAAACGCACATCCCTGCCACAAAACACCAAAACACAAAAGACCTTGTATTTATGATTTAACGAGCAGGCAAACCGGACAGTTCAACTAGCACACGAAGGCAGCACTGGATCCAGCCACACACTCTTCTCCCCCGAGCTTAGTCCCACCCAGGTTGCCTGGATTACTGAACCACAGCTACAGCAGGAGACGCTGTCACTTCCGAGAAAAGACGTCTTGAGGTGGTTGTGCCACATAGATCGGAGGGTGGGAGAGGGAGAGTGAGAGAGTGAGAGAGAGAGAGAGAGAGATGACTGGATTTGGGCTCCGTGATTGAGTAAGGGGCTTTGATCTGAGGCGAGGCTGTGGAGAGGCGGGACTTGAAAGGCAGACAGGTCCTGAATAAAAGATGGAGCTTTTCTTAAACACGGCCCACATCAATTTCAAAAGCCTTGTCAAGTCCCTTCCCTCTCAACAAACTCAAATGGAGTGGCTCAGCAAAGACTGGCGCAAAATAATGAGGCTTATTGTTCAAAATGGAGCGAAAGCGAGAGAGAGAGAGAGAGAGAGAGAGAGAGAGAGAGAGAAAATGGTGGGCTTGTCAAAAGCAAATTTCGCTGATAACTTCTTGTGTTATGACACCACAATGTGACCTCACCCTTTATCTGTCTGGGGGTGTATATGCGTGTGTACTCACACTGCTGGTCCTCATCTTCAGGTGATAGATGAGCCAGGTATAGTGGAACTGAGTCTCCTCCGCATTGACAGATTTAGGATGGATGCAAACCTTCCCGTCAGCTTTAGTGTACACCTTCGCTGGCCTGCGGAAAAAGCACAAACATTTCAGCTGGTGACAGGCAACTTGCATCACAGTGACAAATTCAGGGAAAACGGAATAATTCACACTGATAGACAATCCTCCTGAGATCTAAACCTGGTACCAGCAGCAGAAAAGGGTAAACTTCTACTGGCTCACTGAGAACAGCTCACTCAGATATGATAGGATCTAAAATACAGATGAAAACACCGTATTGCGGTTATATTTCTGCACATCATGATTGCAATATCTCTGAAAATATACTGAAAATGGACCTTTTTGCCTTGTTTGTTCATGTATCTGGTCATATTAAGCAGAATTAATTATAGATCATAAAAATAAAAATGTTTTTCTGTATTTTCCAACTAAATATAAAGATTTTTTTCCTCCTCAAAAAAAATGTCTTCTGATTATGTGACCGTAAAAAATATATATTAACCGATAATCACCTGTATGAAACTAAATGGCAGGATATGCAACGTCCTGCAACTCACCTGAAGCTGCACCCGTTGCAAATGCCTCAACTTCATGAAAATAAGTTTAATGCAACAGCCAATCAAAAAGCAGCAATGCGTCACATGATGTACCAGCTCAATGGATAAGACGACAAAACAGAAGATGGTTTATTAGATGGTTGCAAAGGAGATCCACCTGACTGCCTTTACTGGGAGTGAGTGAGGGAGGTAGTGAGTGAGGGAGTGAGTGAACAAGGTAGTGAGTGAGGTAGCGATGAGGTAATGAGTGATCGAGGAAGCGAGTGAGCAAGATAATGAGTGAACGAGACAGTGAGTGAGTGAGATAGTGAGAGAGATAGTGAGTGAGCGAGATAATGTGTGAGCGAGATAGTGGTTGAACGAGATGAGTGAGCGAGCATGTGCAAAGTTGTGAGGTAGTGAGCGAGCGAGGTAGTGATTGAGTGAGTAAGTGAGGTAGTAAACGAGTGAATGAGCGAGGTAATCAGTGACCGAGCCAGATAGTGAGTAAGCAAGCGAGCGAGGTAGTAAATGAACGAATGAGGTAATGAGACAGCAAGTGAATGAGTTAGTGAGAGATGGAGCGAGGCAATGAGGTAGTGAGTGAAGCAGTAAACGAGTGAATGAGCGAGGTAATCAGTGACCGAGCCAGATAGTGAGTAAGCAAGTGAGCGAGGTGGTAAATGAGTGAATGAGGTAATGAGACAGCAAGTGAATGAGTTAGTGAGAGATGGAGCGAGGCAATGAGGTAGTGAGTGAAGTAGTAAATGAGTGAATGAGCGAGGTAATCAGTGACCGAGCCAGGTAGTGAGTAAGCGAGCGAGAGAGGTAGTAAATGAGTGAATGAAGTAACGAGAGCAAGTAAATGAGGTAGTGAGTGATGGAGCGAGGCAGTGAGGTAGTGAGTGAAGTAGTAAATGAGTGAATGAGCCAGGTAATCAGTGACTGAGCCTGGTAGTGAGTAAGCGAGCGAGAGAGGTAGTAAATGAGTGAATGAGGAGAGAGCAAATGAGTGAGGTAATGAGTGATGGAGCGAGGCAGTGAGGTAGTGAGTGAGGCAGTGACAGAGTGAGAAACAAGCCTGAAAAGCCAGGTCCATGAGGTCCTTTACATCTTGTACCCATAGTTTTCCTAGCTGTTCTGTTTTTAAGCTTTGGCTGGTGCATTATGATAAATTTGAAACAAATTGTGTATCATGAACAAATTTAAGTATCACGTTGGTGCGTCTTCGCCCACCCTGCCTCCTGCCTCCTGCCTCTCCGCAATCCATCAAGCTAACGGCACTCTTAATCACAGTGCTGGCTCAGGCTGAAGCTCCTCCAGACTGGACTGGGTTATTGATGTTGTTTTGATGGCAGCGTGTAAAAGTTAAGCTGACATGCTGTTTCAGACGGCTCTACGCAGCGAGGATGATGATGGTTTTGTTTTCACACCCGGCTAATAATAGGAGCGGGACGAGAAGCGCTCGATACGCAGCAGTTTAAAAAAAGAAAAAGAGCCAAATTGAGTTCGTCTCGTCGATATGGGATATTTTCTCTCTCTGTTTTCTTCTGTCTGAAGTGCAGTCACCTGTCTGACTGCGTCTGCTTGCTGGAGGACATCACTGTTCTTACTCACTCTTTTCTCCACTCACACTCTCACGCACTGCGGCTCCTGGGATTTACAGCTTTCATTGTTTTTATTTTCTACCTTCTCTGGTAGTAAAAGCATAAAAAAGTCCCTCCTTATGGATGAGGTTTTCGAAATTAAGGGCCCGGCTCCAATTAGGACTCCGAGAAGTCCATCTGTGTGGAAATGAGTCACAGGCATGTCACGTGACTGGAGAGTGAAGCAAACATCTAAAGTAGGTACACTTACATGGGTCTCTTCTTGTGGAGGCTGGGGCGGATCTTGGCCACTTTGGGGTAAAGGCCGGCCACGATGACCGCCTTAAGAAGCTTCTCATTGTCTGTGAAGAGAAAGCAGAGAGACCTGATTCATTAAAGGGGACCAAATCTGACAGCTTCTTTTTTCCACTTGACCACCTCCTTGTTTCTATCCTCATTGTCCATTTTATCAGCTCCACTTACTATATAGGTGCACTTTGTAGTTCTACAGTTACAGACTGTAGTCCATCTGTTTCTCTGATACTTTGTTAGCCCCCTTTTACCCTGTTCTTCAGTGGTCAGGACCCCCATGGACCCTCACAGAGCAGGTACTATTTGGGTGGTGGATCATTCTCAGCACTGTAGTAACACTGACGTGGTGGTGGTGGTGTTAGTGTGTGTTGCGCTGGTACAAGTGGGTCAGACACAGCAGTGCTGCTGGAGTTTTTAAACACTGTGTCCACTCACTGTCCACTCTATTAGACAGTCCTACCTTGTCAGTCCACCTTGTAGATGTAAAGTCAGAGACGATAGCTCATCTGCTGCTGCACAGTTTGTGTTGGTCATCCTCTAGTCCTTCATCAGTGGTCACAGGACGCTGTTGACTGGACATTTTTGATTGGTGGACTATTCTCAGTCCAGCAGTGACACTGAGGTGTTTAAAAACTCCAGCAGCCCTGCTGTGTCTGATCCACTCAGACCAGCACAACACACACTAACACACCACCACCACGTCAGTGTTACTGCAGTGCTGAGAATGATCCACCACCCAAATAGTACCTGCTCTGTGAGGGTCCAGGGGGGTCCTGACCACTGAAGAATACACACACACACACCATCCATATATATGGACCATTCTACTAAACTGAGTTCAAAACACTTTTCAGACTCATAACTCAAGAACGAAAAACAATAAAAGATCATTTTAAAAATACAATTAAAAGAAGGTACAAAGTACATAAAGGGAATTACACACATACACACTCAAAGAGGGCTCATTCACTGGGGGCACGGAAGGCAGGAGCTCCAGCTACAAAACTGCTCAATATATTTACTGTTCCATAGGAATAGTGACCTAAGCAACCCTGCATTTAGACGGCAGTAGAGCCAGAAATTGTGGACACATTCAATGGCCATGACGCTCATTAGTGTGAGAGCAGCTTTTCCTCAGGTGGCTCAGTATGTCAATGCAGAACGTGATCAGACTGCGTCAGCAACAGCCGTCAAGCCACAACTACACAGAGGGGGATATTATGCAGCACATAAACCCCTCATTACAAAGACAAATGCACATTTGAGAGTTCAGTGGTGTAATAACATCGGCACTGCTCTACAGAGATATGGGTCCAGTCCCATTTCTTATTTTTACCTTGCCCCTTTGAACTGAGTTACAAGGGGTAGTGGTTGAAATCTTCCCCCACAAAACGGGACCCTCAAATAAAAAAAGATCATTACTTCATTAACAGCTACTAGCGCTGCTCTGTAGGCGACCCTGCCAGTCTGCAGTGACAGCAGAGGAGGGTAAAGTTCAGCTCCTCACTGCTGGGCTTTAGTTACATTTAAAGAATCATACATCTTTAAAGAGGGGGACAATTATTTATTATCGCCCACCCCTAATTCTTCAGTGGTATGAAGCTGAAATCAGCTAGAGGTGTTTAAAAACTCCAGCACTGCTGTGTCTGATCCACTCGTACCAGCGCAACACACACTAACACACCGCCACCACATCAGTGTTACTGCAGTGCTGAGAATGATCCACCACTCAAACAGCACCTGCTCTGTGAGGGTCCATGGGGGTCCTGACCACTGAAGAACAGGGTAAAAGGGGGCTAACAAAGTATCAGAGAAACAGATGGACTACAGTCTGTACTTTGTCATACACAGTGAGAAGAGTTAGTCACAAAAGAAGAACATGAAAAACTGCTCTAAATAGTTAAACCTACAGTATAGTCTCCCATTCAAACTGCACACTTGACCCCAGAAAGATCCGACTATGATTATGCTTGTGTGAGATCTGCTCATGTTTGTATAAACGCAATTTAAAAATGGATAAATACACCCTGCTTACATCTCCGTGTGGTGGAAACCAGGTTATTCACAAAACAGAATAACAGAATAACCACAGCTTACACATCATACTCCAGTACAGTCTGTCAGCTGACACATTAGTACAACAGTGGAGAAAGAGGCAGAGAAGATGGAGGAGGTGTGTGTGTGTGTGTGTATGTGTGTGTGTGTGTGTGTGTGTTTGTGTGTGTGTGTGTGCGCATATGTGTGTAAGAGAGTGCGCCTGTGTGAGATCATGATGTGTCATCAGTGAAAATGCCCCATTACAGCAACATGGAGTGCGCGTGTGCTTTAGAGTGAGCTTCTAGCTGTAAATGCTGGCAGGACCTGCACAGCAGCAGTAAAATAAAATGAAAGGGGCTGTTTTATCTAAGCATACGCTGCTTAGCAACCATTAGAATGAATTAATAATTAAGCTCGCTCCTTAATATCCTATAATGGGCCCTGGAAGATCAAAGAGCCTTTACAGCTGCACCTTGCCTAGCAAATACACAAAAAAAAAGTGATGCAATATGTATCATCTGGGCTTTATTTTTCAGAAATTCATATAATTATTACACCACTGCATTACACAGTACTTTGCTTTGCAGTTATAGAATTGTACATCTTTCTTAAGCACTAGCTGGATAACAAATGTCCTAAAGTTCAATATGTAATCGAATTATTTTATTACCACCAAGCAGATGAAAGTTCCATGAAAGTACCTATGTAGTTGATCTAATCTGGATCAATAACCTAATAAGCATCTTTTTTTCCAAAATTTAAATTACATTCAAATTACATAATTTAAGCACTTCCTGATTAGCCAATAATCCACTGTGTTCAGTAAATACATCCACTTTCCACACCTCACGCTCACTGCTGGTTTAAGCTACGCTGACTTTTTTATCGTATTTTTTATCGTATCAGTATTGGTATATTAATAAACTCTCAATGATACTCAGCGCTAGTAATACTAGATAGCCTGAGTTGATAATTATAGCCCAGATGTTGACATCAGCACTAAATAATAACACACTGTACAGCTGTGTCTATTAGCAGGTTTTGTTATTCCTTCAGAGTGACTGGGACAGGACTACTATTACAGAACTCCAGGTTGAGACAATTATGGGAGACCATTCACACAATTATTACCGTGAGACTGTAAAACTACACACTGCAGATTCATACTGGATTAAAATCACTCCACAATTATTACCATCAGACTGTAAAACTACACACACTGCAGATTCATACTGGATTAAAATCACTCCACAATTATTACCGTCAGACTGTAAAACTACACACACTGCAGATTCATACTGGATTAAAATCACTCCACAATTATTACAGTCAGACTGTAAAACTACACACACTGCAGATTCATACTGGATTAGAATTACCGATCTTTATGGAAACCACTTAAAACATAGTATTTCCCCTATCTAGATGAAAGTAATCTAAACAGGCCTACATTCTCATAAAAGTCAGCCTTACCAGAGTTGATGTTGGCTCTGGGATCTTTAGGGTCCTTACTGCTCACAAAGCCAGCGGCCAACAGGTGCTCCGCAAACTGTCCTTTCATATTCTGCAGCATCTGTTACAGAGAGACAGGGGTGAGGAAGAGATTTTGTTCCAACTGCAGATATAATTATATTATATATATATATATATATATATATATATATATATATATATATATATAATTTTATATTATTATTATTATGTTCATACGTATCTGTCTACTTGCATTTTTGCACATTTTACACATTTAATAATACTGTATCAACCAACTGTATTCCATTGCTGTTCTGGCTGCTACCTCAGGGACTGCTATGCTCATATATGCCATATACACCGATCAGGCATAACATCTCATGACCACCTCCTTGTTTCTGCGCTCATTGTCCATTTTATCAGCTCCACTTACTATATAGGTGCACTTTGTAGTTCTACAGTTACAGACTGTAGATCATTCTCAGCGCTGCAGTAACACTGACGTGGTGGTGGTGTGTTAGTGTGTGTTGTGCTGGTCCGAGTGGATCAGACACAGCAGCGCTGCTGGAGTTTTTAAACACCTCAGTGTCACTGCTGGACTGAGAATAGTCCACCAACCAAAAATGTCCAGCCAACAGCGTCCTGTGGGCAGCGTCCTGTGACCACTGATGAAGGACTAGAGGATGACCAACACAAACTGTGCAGCAGCAGATGAGCTATCGTCTCTGACTTTACACCTACAAGGTGGACTGACAAGGTAGGAGTGTATAATAGAGTGGACAGTGAGTGGACACAGTGTTTAAAAACTCCAGCAGCACTGCTGTGTCTGATCCACTCAGACCAGCACAACACACACTAGTACCTGCTCTGTGAGGGTCCATAGGGGTCCTGACCACTGAAGAACAGGGTAAAAGGGGGCTAACAAAGTATCAGAGAAACAGATGGACTACAGTCTGTAACTGTAGAACTACAAAGTGCACCTATATAGTAAGTGGAGCTGATAAAATGGGCAATGAGCGTAGAAACAAGGAGGTGGTCACAATGTTATGCCTGATTGGCGCATATGGCATATATGTGCATGTGTCATAGTATGTTATATCCTCTTTTGCGCAACTCCACATATTGTCAGTACCGTGTACAGCCTGTGTTCCGTTTCGTATTTACTGTAAGATTTTTTTTGCTGTATTTACTGTATTGTACTGTCTGCACTGTGTATATTATATTGTTTTGCACTTGTGTCCTTGTGTTGCACCACAGTCCTGGAGAAACGTTGTTTCGTTTACAAACTGAAACGACAATAAAGCCTCTTGAACCTGAATACTTACGTCACTGCTTGCATTTATAAATACAAAATCAAAAGACATTAAAGTGGCTATATGCCCTGAATGTATATTAAATAAGAAGCATTTAAGTGTCTGAATCCTTTTATTTCCCTCACTGTATCTGACTGAAATAAACACATAAGCATTATCAAATATCTAATTCTTAGCATGGCTGAAAATCCTAATTGGTAAATCTGAACAGAAACCAGCACAATATTAGAATGTGATGCTTCAAGTACTGAAAAATCAAAGCATATGTTCAATATTAATAAAACGTGTTGAGCTTCTTCTCCCTAAAACAGCAAAGCTGAGAGAAGCTGAATGTTAGAGACTGACCTGCAGCGTGTTGGCAGACAGGAAGTTGTCCCAGCAGTATTCTCGCTCACACTTGTAGCCACGTCTCTTAGCTTCCTCCCAGCCCTGGAACAGAAAACAAATCCCAGACATTACCCAGCAGACTGGAAAACAACAATGACAAGAGGAAATAAAAGGAAATAACAGATGCTGTTGACGGTGTTTTACCGAGAAGGCGTTGACCACTGTGAGGTGGTCACTCCTGGAGTTTTTGGACAGAATTTTCCTCCGCTGGTCTGCTATCTTCTCCTTGCCCTGTGAGATAACATGCTCATTTGCTTTTTCACTGTTAAGATCAGGCAGTAGAAAACTAGATGAGTTTCAGCAGTGAGGTACTGTTGGGGGGGTTGGGTATGTGTGTGGTTGCCAGAGGTAGGAAAAATGGTCCTTAGACATTTTGCTCTTCGAAGTTAAGATTAAGCACAATGTTAGCTAACTGCAGGTTAGAGGGTGTGTTGGCAGCTGACATATCAAAATCTTGTAACTCCATTAACCCAATGGGCCAAATTACTTGATATAATACTTACATTAAGGTTAAGAATTTAGTGATACCATAGTTAATATACCACAATCTTAACACCATTAATATATTTACCTAGTTTGACTATTTGAATCATCCGCAGTAGTGCAGGCTGAAAACAGCTGCAACTCCATTTGTTGCCTCGACTCAAATATAGCGATTAAATAATGAGTTCCAGTGGTGGCTCCCTCGAAACAAAAATATTCCCAACTACTGCCATGGTGAACTGATTCCTCACTAAAGTGCATTAAATCTTAAGCATCATTCTCAAGCAAAAAACACTGCTGATGTAGCAGTATCAGTAGACTACGCTGGACAGTGCTCATAGGAGAACTATGAAAAAAAATCAACAAGCAACAAACTAACAAAAGCAACCACATAGAAAGCTCCAGTTACCCTCCAGAGCCCCTCTGTAACAAGTATCTACAAGCTGTCTTAACGAGAGTGAGAGGCTACAATAACGGACGAGTTCGAACAAGTGATATGATACAAAAGTTTGAGCAGTTCTGGTCAAATTACGTTTCTGTTGATTTTCATAGTGAAAATTAGTGAACAAATCTTCTACAGAGAACACACTTAAGCACATTTTTATGCACAATTACGGTTTATTTACTGAATTTAACATATTGGGGCACGGATTAACGGCGATATATATATATATATATATATATATATATATATATATATCATATATATACACAGTGGTGTGAAAAAGTGTTTGCCCCCTTCCTGATTTCTTATTCTTTTGCATGTTTGTCACACTTAAATGTTTCAGATCACCAAACAAATTTAAATATTAGACAAAGATAACACAAGTAAACACAAAATACAGTTTATAAATGAAGGTCTTTATTATTAAGGGAAAAAGAAATCCAAACCTACAGGGCCCTGTGTGAAAAAGTGATTGCCCCCCCGTTAAAACATAAATTAACTGTGGTTTATCACATCTTTGGAAAGCTGAGTTCAATTTCCCTAGCCACACCCAGGCTTGATTACTGCCACACCTGTTCTCAATCAAGAAATCATTTACATAGGACCTGCCTGACAAAGTGAAGTAGACCAAAAGATCCTCAAAAGCTAGACATCATGCTGTGATCCAAAGAAATTCAGGAACAAATGAGAAACAAAGTAATTGAGATCTATCAGTCTGGAAAAGGTTATAAAGCCATTTCTAAAGCTTTGGGGACTCCAGCGAAGCACAGTGAGGGCCATTATCCACAAATGGCGAAAACATGGAACAGTGGTGAACCTTCCCAGGAGTGGCCGGCCGACCAAAAGTACCCCAAGAGCGCAGCGACGACTCATCCAAGAGGTCACAAAAGACCCCACAACAACATCCAAAGAACTGCAGGGCTCACTTGCCTCGGTTAAGGTCACCATAAGAAAGAGACTGGGCAGAAATGGCCTGCAGGCAGAGTTCCAAGACGAAAACCACTGCTGAGCGAAAAGAACATAAAGGCTCATCTCAGTTTTGCCAGAAAACATCTTGATGATCCCCAAGACTTTTGGGAGAATACTCTGTGGACTGACGAGACAAAAGCTGAACTTTTTGGAAGGTGTATGTCCCGTTACATCTGGTGTAGAAGTAACACAGCATTTCAGAAAAGGAACATCATACCAACAGTAAAATATGGTGGTGGTAGTTGATGGACCTGGAAGACTTGCTGTGGTAAATGGAACCATGAATTCTGCTGTCTACCAAAAAATCCTGAAGGAGAATGTCCGGCCATCTGTTCGTGACCTCAAGCTGAAGCGCACTTGCGTTCTGCAGCAGGACAATGATCCAAAGCACACCAGCAAGTCCACCTCTGAATGGCTTTAGAAAAACAAAATTAAGACTTTGGAGTGGCCTAGTCAAAGTCCTGACCTGAATCCGATTGAGATGCTGTGGCATGACCTTAAAAAGGCGGTTCATACTCGGAAACCCTCCAATGTGGCTGTATTACAACAATTCTGTGAAGATGAGTGGCCAAAACTCCTCCACAGCACTGTAAAAGACTCACTGCCAGTTATCGCAAACGCTTGATGGCAGTTGTTGCTGCCCAAGGTGGGCCAATCAGTTATTAGGTTTTAATGGGGGGCAATCACTTTTTCACACAGGGCCCTGTAGGTTTGGATTTCTTTTTCCCTTAATAATAAAGAGCTTCATTTATAAACTGCATTTTGTGTTTACTTGTGTTATCTTTGTCTAATATTTAAATTTGTTTGGTGATCTGAAACATTTAATTGTGACAAACATGCAAAAGAATAAGAAATCAGGAAGGGGGCAAACACTTTTTCACACCACTGTGTGTGTAAATATATATATATATTTTTTTTTTAATGTGTTAAACTCAGTAAATACTTTTAAATTGTGCATTAAAATTTGCAGAAAAATATTTAAGTGTATTCTCCGTAGAGGACGTGTTACTTACTTTCATTTAGAAAATGCATGTAGTTTGACCAGGGTGTTCAAACTTTCGCATGTAGCTGTACATGCAGCCGCTGTTGCTCTCACTGGATGTTGGTGATGAAAACTAGAAAATGTGTTCATGCTACAGAATCACAGTATTTTCATAGTTCATAGTACATTGAACTATTGAAAAAAATAAATACTCAGCAAAATTAAAGATTATCTGTGTCATGGCATAAAGAAGGGGTCTTCAATGCTAAGGGTAGCTGTTATGGTTAGCATACATGCATAATGAATGTATATCAGTGGTATAAATTATGTATACATTATGTGCTGCTGCTGTGTGTTGCACCATGGGGCTTGAAAAACAACATTTCGTTGCAATCTATACCAGGTAGACTGAGAAATGACAATACAGACCACCTGACTTGATCCGATGTATGTATATCAGTGGGATAAAGAGGGGGGTCTTTAAGGCTCAGGCTAGCAGTAATGGTAAGCGTATATGTGTAAGTATACCAGTGGAATGAAGAAGGGGTCTTTGAAGCTCAGGCTGGTTGCGATGGTGAGCACAGGGTCCAGGCAGGCGAGCAGAGCTCCGAACAGAATCATCTTCCCGATGTGGGGCTCCACAGGCAGGCGGGCCAGATGGAACCCCAATGGAGTCAGCTCCTCATTATGGTCCAGCGCATTCTGACACACACACACACACACACACACACACACACACACACACACACACACACACACACACACAGCATCACTAAGCTGTTGAGCTTCCATTTTGTTCCAAACAGCTGCAGCTCATTCTCTCAGCTATCCATCTCTCTCAACTGCAGCACCCTGTACTTATCACCAATTTCAGCCCCATCCAGCAGCATCACAACACAGCCCACTGATCTAACACCCCCCCCCAGCTCTGTCTGAAAGCCCAGAACAGTCTCTCTCTGTCATACATCGCTGCACTGATGTCCTGAACCGTGTGTATGTGTAAATATGTGTAATTAATTGTGTTTGTGTACATACTGACATAGTAATATTAATATGTTCATTATTAGTTTTTTACTCTTTGCCTTTATTACAGCTTCTGTTCCTTTCGCAAGACTAGCTTTCAGTTTTTGACAGAAATCAGCAGTGATTTTATTCCACTCCTCCAAATTTCAGTCTCAGAAGTTGGCTGCATTTTTTGTCTCTCATGACCAAAGTCATTCCAAACACATTCAAATGTGTCTCCTTTTCTGAGTTGAGTTGTCTTCTCACAGTGGAAGAAGGACAGAATCTGAAGCAGCATGGTTTTCTCCTCTCTCTCTCTCTATATATATACATATACACACATCCTAAAAATCATATAAAACAGTTTCCCTTTGATTTTCTCTGTGATTATTCAAGTGGATAATACTATTATATAACCCTCTTTCTATCAACTTCACCCCATTCAATGTTTAAATAAATGACTGGCATTTTTTGGCTTCATATTTAATGACTTCTCCTAAATTAATAGGGAAACAAAGGTAAACATAAAATTAACATGATATGTTTTCAGTTTCTTGTACACATTTTGTATGCAGTGGTGTTCTTTGGGGTCAATTTGACCCTGGGCTGTTTTAACTGTATTAAAGATAAGAAACAACATTTTAAACACACTTGTTTTGGCTGTTGTGGGCGACACTGAGGTCACTATAACAAGCAATTTTATAAACTTCAAAAAAACTTCCCTCAGCTTTAGGGCCCCAGCCTTACATGACCACACCTGTAGTAGCGTGAGAACCACTGATAGCTTACACCACATGGGGAAAGGAAAACGCAAGTCCCATGAGAACTTTGATATTTCCCAGAAATTTAAAGTGCTGGAGTCAAACTGACCCAAGGATGACAGGAGGGCTGATCTCCTCTGAAATATCTCCTAAAATGAATATCTTGCGCTTAACGGTTGTTTTGATGGGAAATGAATTAAATAAAGAGTGATATAATAATTAAATGCCCCTTTTACATTATTTCTTTATGAAAGTACCTCTACATAATAGCCCGTTCTGTACGTATTACATATATTTAAGTATCTATTTGTAACGTGGTCCATGTATGTACGTGATTATGGATTTTCTAAGATAATACGAAAGCTACCCCTATCCATAATCTCGTGATCTCAGTAACCAAAAGTACATGGATATATCCTTTCAGGAAAAAAAAATGAAAAGGTTCGGACATTTTTGATCTGAACATGTATGAAAGCAAGCAAACACACACACACCAGGTCCATGAGATGAGTGATGGCCAGCTCGATGGCTCTGTCTGACGGCGGGTCCAGACTCTTCCTCAGGAATGACGCAATAGGACCCAACTTTAGGATCTGTGAAAGTGAGAAAATACATACACACATCAGCATTAGAGCACAGGACCAGGTACACAATCACACAGACTCAACCGCAACAGTCACACACGGCTACACAGGTGTAATTACATGTATTTGGCTGTGTGTATTACTGTAGTGTTTTTCCTCCAGAGAAATGACTCACAGAGACAGAGAGAGGAGTAGGAGTGTGTGTGTGTGTGTGTGTGTGTGAGTGTGTGTGTATGTGTGTGTGTGTGTGTGTGTGTGTGGTAATTGACACCACTGAAAGGCCTCATTAAACAATTACTCTGCTCCTGAGAGGAGATGAGTCTGATTAACACAGCCATTAATGCATTAGTATGTTTGTGCTCGGCTATTAGTGTCACCAGGGAGCACCGTGCAACCTCTGCTCTGAGCCCCCCATTACACAGCACAGACCGCTGCCAAGGGGGACAGAGAGAGAGAGAGAGAGAGAGAGACAGAGAGAATCTGGGAAGTAGGAGGAGAGTGTGTCCATACGAGATCACGATGTATCACCATTAAAACGCCCCATTGCAGTACAATGGATATGAAACACAGAGAGAGATTGAGAGAGAGAGAGAGAGAGAGAGAGAGAGAGAGAAAGAGAGTTTAAGAGAGAGTTTAAGAGAAAGAGAGAGAGAGAGAGAGAGAGAGAGAAAGAGAGTTTAAGAGAGAGTTTAAGAGACTTTTTT